AGAGAGAGAGAGAGAGAGAGAGAGAGAGAGAGAGAGAGAGAGAGAGACAGGTAGAAAGAGAGACAGACAGACAGAGACATAGAGAAAGAGACAGATAGTGATAGACCAACAGACAGATAGATAAGAGATTGAGATAAGAGAAAGAGATAGACAGAGACAGAGTTAAACAGAGAGAGAGAGAAAGAGAGAGAGGGAGAGAGAGAGAGAGAGAGCGCTGAACAGACAGAGATATAGAGAAAGAGAGACGGTGATAGACCAACAGATAAGAGACAGAGATGAGAGAAAGAGATAGACAGATAGAGAGTTAAACAGAGAGAGAAAGACAGAGATATAGAGAAAAAGAGAGAGAGATAGTGATAGACCAACAGATAGATAAGAGATAGACAGGCACAGTTAGACAGATAAAGAGAGACAGAAAGAGAAAGAGAGAGAGAGAGAGAAGCACACACACAGATAGAAAGAGAGACAAACAGGCAGACAGACGTAGCTAGCTAGCTAGACAGATAGACATAGATATTAAATATAATAAAGGTAATAACTCAGAGATCCCATACTTGCGGTGTTGAAGGCTTGCGAAGTCGCTAGTGCACTTGTGAAATTGGCCTCCACCGTCGTCAATGTTTTATCCGTCGCTGTGACGTTGGGAGGAGGTTCTGTGGCATTCGGTGCAAAGGTGGCAGGCCCAGTCGTGGGCCGCAGAGCTTTGTGCAAAGTCGTCGCCACGGCCACGCTGGGCCCAGTGACGGTGGCGCTGGTCGTCGTGGCTTCCCGCCCTTTCGGGGGCGGATGGCTTTGTGCCACAGTCGGTGCCACGCCTGGGGACGTGGTCGGCCTCTTCATTGAAGTGGTGGGTTTTGCACTCGTGGCCTGCGTGGTGGTGGCAGTTTTCACTAAACTGGTGGTGGGCAAGAGACTCTCTGTCGATGGATGGACTAGGAAGAACGGAACAAAAAAAAATGTTTCCTTTTTTTTCCCCCAGGCAAATCATTTTATTTTATTTTATTTATTATACATTTTCTTTAATATACATAACCATTCATAGTTATATAACGTCTTTGTGTACTGGATACATCAAGGCCCTTTTTTCCCTTTCCAGCGTGTTATACATCCTAGCTAAAACTATCATATCGTATAATACCTCCATCCTATTATATTATACCTCCAAATTATGTCTATTGTTTGTTTCCAACATAATATACTATTCCAATCCTCACTTGATGAATTTCATGTTGTATTCGTGTGTAATTCAAAGATAGACTTTTTTTTACATTATTTATTCTTACATCTCAATTCTACATATGCTGCTTTTCCTAAGAGAATTGCACTGTCTTCTGCAATGCGCAAAGATTTCTTTTAAGAACCATACTCAACGAGTAGTCCTTAATGGGTCTAAGTCTACATGGAGGGAAGTAAGCAGTGGGGTGCCACAAGGTTCCCTCTTAGGCCCAGGACTTTTCAGTATCATCATTAGCGACTTAGGTGAGGGAATAGAAGGGGAACTTGCCATATTTGCAGATGATACTGAGCTGGCAGGAATAGCTAACACCCAAAAAGATCGGCTCAAGATCCAGATGGATCTTGATAGACTAGAACCCTGGGCCGTATCTCACAAAATGAAATTCAGTGTAGAGAAAAGTAAAGTCCTACACTTAGGCAAGAAAAACCCAAAGGACCCATATAGACTGGGTGAAACCAGGCTCAATAGCAGGAACTGGGAGAGGGATCTTGGAGTCTGAGTGGACAACCAGCTAAATAGGAGCCAGCAGTGTGCAGCAGCCGCCCAAAAAGCCAACGCAATCCTAAATTGTATTAACAGAGGGATACAATCAAGATCAAGGGAGGCACTAATACCACTCTATAAAGCCTTAGTAAGGCCACACCTAGAGTCCTGCATCCAGTTTTGGTCACCACACTATAACAAAGATGTTGAGACTCTAGAAAAAGGGCAGAGAAGAGCAACCAGGATGATGAGGGGACTGGAGGATAAAACATACGAAGAATGGCTACAGGAACTGGACTTGGCTAGTCCAGGGAAGAGAAGGACCAGGGGAGACAGGAGAGCATCTTCCAATATTTGAGGGGCTGCCCCAGAGAGGAGGAGGAGGTCAAGCTATTTTCCAAGACATCTGAAGGCCAGACAAGGAATAATGGATGGAAACTGAACAAGGAGAGATTCAACCTGGAAATAAGGAGAAACTTTCTGACAGTGAGAACAATCAACCCATGGAACAGAAGTTGCCCTCGGAATTTGTGGGAGCATTATCAGTTGAGACCTTCAAGAAGAGACTGGACTGTCAGAAATGGTGTATGTGTTCTGACCAAGGATTATTGAGACACTAACAAACACACGTTAGTCCCAAACCCCTTTTTTATTTATTTTAATGGCTGTGAATAGTCCCAAACAGTTTGTGAATAGTCCAACGGAAGTTCTGCCACAGTCCTTTGGGATAAGTCTGATAAGCACCCACCTTTATCTCCCTTGGAATCCTGCCATGACTAAATTGCCAATTGGCTGTACAAGGCCAAACGGAGCACAAAGTCAACACGGAGCTTCAGAGATTAAACCAACCAGAACAAACAAAGTTGCTTCCTGCAAAGGCTCCTGTCCCTTTGCTCCTCCTTTATGTCTTTCAGGAGGGGCCAATCACCTCCCAGCCTTACTCCTGAGTTGCCCCTTTTGTCTTAGCTGTTCTTGCCTTCTGGCAGCTCTGTGCATGCGCACACTGGGAACAGGCTCCCACTGATGTCAGATTTTGGAGGCTCCAGAGTTCGCACATAACCCTCAGATGGTCCTGGCCCCATCTCTGTGTCGGACACAAATCCCTCATCCGAGCCCTCTCCAGACTCCCGGACTGGCCCATTGTCCTCCCCACTGTCCGACTCTGCCGCCAGCCGCCAATGGACCACAACACTGACCAGCAAAGTCCGCGGGGAAGCCAGATTCATTAACCAATTTAAGAACTGCAAGAATTCACTTAACAAACACGGCAAGAAAAAGTCGTAAGATGGAGCAGACTCGCTTAACAAATTTCTCGCTCAACGGCATAAATTTTGGGCTCAATTTTTGTACATTGAGGACTACCTGTTTCTAGAAATGCACAGACGTTGTCCTGAAATAAAAGCATATCAACAGTTAAGAACAGACATATGTCTAAAGAGATCTTGTCATATCTGCATTTAGCCAGTCTCCTGAAAAGCAGACAGGTAACTCACCTGAAGTTATATTGGCAACACCTAGGTATGTTAAGCAGCTGCTGAATAGGATAACAAGGAAGCATATACCCATATTGGCCTGAAAAACAAAAAAAAATAAATATTTGTTAGCGATTCAGGAAAAATAATTCCCAAGCTTTAAAAGCCACAGGAGACATCAAATGTTTAAAACTGAACATAAGGTCTTAAAGGAAATGGTTATAAAATCATCTTTAATATAAAATGGTTATAAAATCATCTTCAATATAAAAGGAACAAAATGGTTATAAAATCCTCTTTAATATAAAAGAAACAAAATGGTTATAAAATCATCTATAATATAAAAGGAACAAAATGGTTATAAAATCATCTTTAATATTAAAGGAATTATAGAACTGCTTTGCTGGAATCTTTGCAGCTCTCCTTTAGCGATTAAATATTAGTCATTAAGCGAAGTTGTCGCAAAGTGAAATATCACAGGATTGCAACTATGGTTAGATTTTTTTGTTGTTTCAGTTTTTTTTCTTTGCTTTTTGATAATTCCTTTAGCTGAATGTGGGGGTTTTTCCTCTTGATTTTATCCCTCCTCCCTCTCCCAATCATTCAGAAATAACTATAGTATTGCTCACATCACAATAATTTATGGTTGTTGTTTTTTCTGTTGTTCTGCTGGATCTTTTTGATCAACTCCCCAAATCCAAAAACTTCACTCTTAATCAGACTCAAACCCCTGGACCAACGCTGTGTAATTTTGCCAGAGTTTTCTTTGGATGTTAACTCTCAGCTTCACTGCTGGTCAGCTCTTAAATTCCAAGACCTTAATAGTTACCACGTGTCCCAAACCGTTTTTGAAAACTTCTCAAAGCAAACAGACATGGGATGAGGAGGAAAGCTGATGGGAGACATTAGAAAAATTCTTTTAATTTTTTTTAATCCAGGCCTTTTGTGTACTAGAAGTGGCTGAGGAATTCTGGGAGTTGAAGTTCACAAGTCTTAAAGTGGTCAAGTTTGGGGACCCCTGTATTAATACGTACTGGTAATATTAATAAATATTAATTTTGTCCAAGTGAATAACTGAGGGAACCCAGAGTTCTCCATCTGAGCAGAAGCAAATGTTCTTATTTGGTAGCATTTATACTCTAAAATCCACGGCCTCGAGGCTGCTGTTTCCCCATCCTTACATAAGCAGCTAAAATATTTCCCAATTTCTATCATTGGGTGCCAAAATTATTTTCACTCCAACAATCTACTCACTAAAACAAAACGAAAAAAACACCACCCATGATTTAAGGTGGAGAACCAGGGCAATTTTATTACATTAAAAACAGAAACTTTATGTAGTCCTTGACTTAGAACAGTCCATTTAGTGACCATTTAAAAGTACAATGTATCTAAAACTATAGAGTTTTAAAATGAAAAGATTGGAACTGATATCCTACTGTTACTAGATTACTTGTTTTTTGTTAAATTATACACAGAGATAAATGGAATAAATGTGAAAAAGAGAAATTATGATAAGTATGCTAAATACGTTGAATAAATTTAAGAATATAGCTAAAATGAATCATGAGGATTGTTATAAAAAGATTAACATCAGTTTTTATGATTAATTGAATCAATTAATCTATTTGAAATTATAAATGATTTAATGTAATTGAAGGGGAAAATACCATGTGGAATTTGTCCTAAAATGCATATGTGTTACACACACTACTCAAAAAATAAAGGGAACACAAAAATAAGACATCCTAGATCTGAATGAATGAAATATTCTTATTAAATACTTTGTTCATTACATAGTTGAATGTGCTGACAACAAAATCACACAAAAATTATCAACGGAAATCAAATTTAGCAACTCATGGAGGTCTGGAGTTGGAGTTACACTCAAAATTAAAGTGGAAAAAACACTACAGGCTGATCCAACTTTGATGTCATGTCCTTAAAACAAGTCAAAATGAGGCTCAGTAGTGCATGTGGCCTCCACGTGCCTGTATGACCTCCCTACAACGCCTGGGCATGCTCCTGATGAGGTGGCGGATGGTCTCCTGAGGGGTCTCCTCCCACACCTGGACTAAAGCATCCCCCAACTCCTGGACAGTCCATGGTGCAACGTGGCCTTGGTGGATGGAGCGAGACATGATGTCCCAGATGTGCTCAATTGGATTCAGGTCTGGGGAACGGGAGGGCCAGTCCATAGCATCAATGCCTTTGTCTTGCAGGAACTGCTGACACACTCCAGCCACATGAGGTCTAGCATTGTCTTGCATCAGGAGGAACCCAGGGCCAACCGCACCAGCATATGGTCTCACAAGAGGTCTGAGGATCTCATCTCGGTACCTAATGGCAGTCAGGCTACCTCTAGTGAGCACATGGAGGGCTGTGCAGCCCCCTAAAGAAATGCCACCCCACACCATTTCTGACCCACTGTCAAACTGGTCATGCTGGAGGATGTTGCAGGCAGCAGAATGTTCTCCACGGCGTCTCCAGAACCTGTCACGTCTGTCACATGTGCTCAGTGTGAACCTGCTTTCATCTGTGAAGAGCACAGGACGCCAGGGGTGAATTTGCCAATCTTGGGGTTCTCTGGCAAATGCCAAATGTCCTGCACGGTGTTGGGCTGTAAGCACAACTCCCACCTGTGGATGTCAGGCCCTCATACCACCCTCATGGAGTCTGTTTCTGACCGTTTGAGCAGCCACATGCACATTTGTGGCCCACTGGAGGTCATTTTGCAGGGCTCTGGCAGTGCTCCTCCTGTCCCTCCTTGCACAAAGGCAGAGGTAGCGGTCCTGATGCTGGGTTGTTGCCCTCCTACGGCCTCCTCCACGTCTCCTGATGTACTGGCCTGTCTCCTGGTAGCGCCTCCATGCTCTGGACACTACACTGACAGACACAGCAAACCTTCTTGCCACAGCTCGCATTGATGTGCCGTCCTGGATGAGCTGCACTACCTTGTGTGGGTTGTAGACTCCGTCTCATGCTACCACTAGAGTGAAAGCACCGCCAGCATTCAAAAGTGACCTCAAACCATCAGTCAGAAAGCATAGGAAATGAGAAGTGGTCTGTGGTCACCACCTGCAGAAGCACTCCTTTATTGGGGATGTCTTGCTACCTGCCTCTGCTTTCCACCTGTTGTCTATTCCATTTGCACAACAGCATGTGAAATTGATTATCAATCAGTGTTGCTACCTAAGTGGACAGTTTGATTTCACAGAAGTGTGATTGACTTGGAGTTACATTGTGTTGTTTAAGTGTTCCCTTTATTTTTTTGAGCAGTGTAGTTGTTAGATTGTTGTTATTAACTTTTAAGGTGACAATTAAAAAGTGACTATATTGTGATAAATCATTATTATTATTATTAATTAAAGAGGAGCTAACTAAATGATGTATAAGATAAAGGGGTGGTACACTCAAATTAGTAATTAAAGGGGAAATTTTTTGAATTATTTGAATTAAGGTGAAACTTTTGGAATAATGAAATAAGAATATGCGATGAAATTGCAAATGTGACAGATACAACTATAAAGTATAATGAATATGAAGATATGAGAATTATTTAAAGTAAAAAGAAATAAGTTAAGAAATGAATAGAAAATTTAGAATATAAGTTTGAGAAATATAAGAATATCTGAGAAAATTTACAGAAAATATGAAATGCAAAGATATGAAACTAACTGGAAAAGATGAATATGTAACCAAGGTCATGTCTGTATGCAAATGTGAAAACCTGGAACCATGCTGTTCACTAAGAGATGTTTTTTATAACATCTTTTATATTTTATGAAATATAAAAAAAAAACATTTACAAAAAAAAGTTACTATGTATCTGATAAAAGTGGCTTATGACCATTTTTCACATTTACGACCATTGCAGCATCTCTACAATCACATGATCAAAACTCAGATGCTTGGCAACTGACTCGTATTTACGACGGTTGGAGTGTCCCCCCGGTCATGTGATCAGTGATCTTCCAACAAGGGGGTGGGGAACCAACGGGGACAACCAGATTCACTTAACAACCAGGTGACTAGCTTAAAAACTCCAATGATTCACTAAACAGTCGTGGCAAGAAAAGTCGTAAAACGGAGCAAACTCAGTTCACAAATGTGTTTCACCTCAGCAACCTAAATTTTGGCCTCAATTGTGGTCAAAACCTGAAGTCTCTCCATACATTTCATTTGTCAGGATTCCGGCAATTATCCCGCAATTAAATCATGAGTCTCGAGCCAAACTTCCAAAACTTCAAGAAGATTTATTAGTAGGAAACATGTCGGCACTGCCTGGGTGTAGCCGATTGTGAAGCACATCATTGTCACCCTTGACCCTGGTTTCCCCCACTGCACCTCCTGGGTATATCCTAATTCATATTCTCCAATGGGACACCTCCATAGCCCAGAGTCATCAATCGTGCTCTCCAGTTACAATTTTGCGGAGCAGAAACTTCAGTCACCTAGTTCCTATCTTTGAAAACATTTACGGAATGCGCTTTCGGTTTGCAAGCTGCTGCACTGCTCCCGCCTCCCTTTCTGTTGGCATCTCTAAAAAGACCAGAGAAACATTTTATGAGTTGACATCAAGACTGATTCAGGTATCCGTCCTCCTGAGGTCGGTAAAAGGAAGACCCAGATTGTTGGGGGGCGGGATATACTCTGACTCTGTAAGCTGCTTAGAGCAGGGTTGTCAAACTGGTGGCCCGCGGCCAGATGCATCACAGGCAGACCACGCCTGTCCCAGCTCCGCGAAAGGGAAAAACGTCACGAAGAGGAAAAATGGTGTCAGGGTTCCGGCGATTGCCCTAATTGAATCATGAGCCTCGAGCCAAGCTTTAAAAGAATCCAAAAGATTTATTAGGAGCAACATGTCAGCATGAACCTAAATGAATCCAACTTTGGCATAGGTAATTTGTAGTCACCTGTGACCCTGTTTCCCTCTCCCCGCTGGGTGTGTCATCAATTAGATTCTCCAATGAAGGCTTTTCGGGGGCAGAAGATACAGTAGCCTAGCTACAATCTTTGTAACATAAGCATGGAATGTATTTCTGGTTCTAAACTGCTGTACTGTTTCTTCACACACACCCTTGTTTATGGCAACTCAAA